GGGAGGAAACATTTAGGAACTAAATATTATATGAATCTATTAATTCACATAGATATGTGTATATACATATACATAAATATATATACACACATCCACATATGTATAGAGGGCAGAGTGTATTCGTGGTCACCAAGGATGGGGGTGGGAAGTAAAAGGGAGCAGTTAATGGTGATGGAGATGCTGCACTGATGAGAGGTGGGGCATTCGAATTGTCAGTAAGTAGTACACCTACGGAAAGGTGAGTTGTGTCACAGGCATGCGTAGAACCATGACAGAGAGAGAGAGAGAGCGTCACTGAGAGGCTGATTATGTTATAACCGAATACCTCATAGGATTTGGCTTCTTGTTTTGAATGTTGAGGGTCATGGTTTCATGAGACATCTCAGTTAATTGGCCTAATAACATGCTTAGTGCCTGTGTTGGCCTCCTAATTCGACATGTCTTCAAAGCTTGCCGTCAGCCTTGCAAGGCGTCACAGTTGCTCTTGATTTGCCTGCAACAGCAGAAGAGGAAAGGGAGGCAGGAGCAGGAGGAGGGCGTGTGCTTTAGTCTGTCGTACAGAGGAGTCAGTACGCGTCAGCACCAACTTCACGTCTCCTGACGGCCTAACCACGGGATGGAATGTGTGACTCAGTGCCACAGCCCAGTCCCATTCACCACGAGGCCAGAAGAACAGAATGACACGTGACCACAATTACTGCACGCCTTGATAAAAAAATTCCATCTAAGGATCCTGATCAAAAGAAGAGACATGCAGAAATGAATATCACTTTCTTAGCAACTCCAGACTTCCTGGGGGAATAAAGGCAGACGGGCCCCTGAAATTTTTAAGCCCTGAACCAAAAATCTTCTCTGAAGTTTTCTTAAAATCAAACAATAGTTTAGCTTCACTGGTCAAACAGATTTGCCTTGGGCACTAAGCCCATTTAAGGCCTAACAGATCGACAACAGCAACTCCGGAGAGTAGGCTGCAATCCCAAGAGGCGGTGCCTTGTGTAACTGGGGGAGGCCGAGCTCAGAAAAGCTGGTGAGACTGGCTACCCAACTTGGGAGAATGCAGTGTCATCGAGTTGCACATGTAGAAATCATGTGCGTGAGCCATAGGATAAATGACACATTCAACACACATGCACACATACAGACATCCACGCAGCCCTGGTGGAGCACAGCTCTACTCTGACATATATGGAGTCTCCATGATTTGAAGTTGGCGTGAGGGCACCCGGCATATAGGTATGTCAGGGCTCACCGACTTGAACACATTCATTATGTGCACTTGACTGAATGTCACTATCCCTCAGTCACTTTTTAGAAAAGTGTTTTGGGTTTGCTGTTCCAGAGCTCACGGGTCTTCTTTGGAGAGTGGTTTCCAACCAGAAGTCGGGGCTGATTGTGTCCATGATAGACTGAAAGCACAAAGAGCAACTAGAGAAAAGGATGTGTTATTCTGAAGACACTTCTCTCGTTGAGAACCCATTGCAATATCATTCGAACTTGTGTTTCCTCTTCATTGTCTCGTGATCTTGGGTGGGCATCGCCCCCCAGGTATGCCCGATGGCTGCCGGGGACTCAGAGCACCGAGACTCAGCCTTGTCCATAGGGAGCGAGGGAACCAGGACGTTGGCTGCTGCATCTCCCTGCTTGAAGCAGGAGGCTGCACGAGCTGGGGTGCAGGGTACATATCTGAGCGAGGCCTGTCCCAAAGCTGCGAGAATCCTCAGAGAGTCTTCAGGGAAAAGGGGTGGGTGTAGATCTGGATCTGGGAGAAAGCGAGCGGGAGGACTAAGTCTTGGGAAAGGAGCTGGGACCAGAAGAACTGACGAGATGTCACCCAAGGGTGTTACCAATCGTGGCTGAAAGGGAGGAAGAGGAGAGGGTGCCTCACTCTGCAAGTGAGGCCGAGAGGGGCGGAGGCTGGAGGGGTGGCCCAGGGGGGATTGGCGTGGCAGAAAGGAACGCTTGAGGAAGGGATTAAATTTGGCTACTGGAATAGCCACTTGACCCTGAAAGAGCCTCACGGAAGGGTGATCCAGAAGAAGCCAGATCTTGAGGGGTATGGTGGTGGGTGAGCAGGGGCGCCATCCCTTTTAGGAAACTTGGAGGGAGGGAGCATTTGACTTTTTGTGTCGAGGGATCTGAGAGCTGTATTCAACACGACTGAGCAGACCTCTGCCACGCCCCGAGGCTTGGCCTCTAAATCTAAGCTTGGAGATGCTCAAGACTCCATCTGGCACCGATACTCCATTGTCTTGAATAACATCATGAACATATGCACCATTGTCTCATCCCTTGTTTTCTTTTCAATCCACAGAAACTCTAATGGACACCAGGACGGCTACAGCAGAGCTTGGCTGGACAGCCAATCCAGCATCTGGGGTGAGTAGCAGGTCACCAAGTCTTCCATGTGAGCCTCAGCCATGTGACCAGGACAGTAGGCATGAAGGATATAATGTGGGTGTGATGGCTGTGCCCATTGCCCATCCTGGGACAGGCCTCACAGGACCACAGACCCCGTATGCTTCCTAAATCCTAGCTGCATGACACTAACCATCTTTTGGCATCATGGTTACAGAGAGCCAGCTCTTAGGTCACAAGGACCATGCAGTGGCTACCCAAAGCTGGGCCAGTTGCTGTGGGGTAGACCAGAGATCTGAGATGTCCACAGGCCTGCAGAGAAAGCAAGGGCCGGAAGGTGGGGTTGGCAATTGGAAAGGCTGAAATCTCTGCCCCTGTAGGGGTAGAAGCCTGATGGGAAGAGCCAATGCTGACACATCCCAATAGTGAAGCCCTGTGGTCAGGGAGGGGCACCAGATCAATAATTAATAATAACAACAATAATAATAATAACAATATAAAACAAACCCACTGCCTTCAAGTCAATTCTGGCTCACAGCAACCCTGTAGGACAGAGTAGAACTGCTGCTTAGGGTTTCCGAGACTAAATCTTTTTTTTTTAATCATTTTATTAGGGGCTCATACGACTCATCACAATCCATACATACATCAGTTGTGTAAAGCACATTTGTACATTCATTGTCCTCATCATTCTCAAAACATTTGCTCTCCATTTAAGCCCCTGGTATCAGGTCCTCTTTTTCCCCCTCCCTCCTCGCTCCCCCCTCTCTCATGAACCCTTGATAGTTTGTAAATTATTATTTTGTCATATCTTGCCCTGTCCGACGTCTCCCTTCACCCACTTGTCTGTTGTCACATGTCTTTATAGGGTCTGATGCCCTTTTATTCCCTCGAGGAGTGGTTGATGGGTTTAAATGGCCGACTCTGCAATTAGCAGCCGGATGCATAACCCGTGTGCCACTACGGGTCCTTGGGAGGGATACAGGTGGCATCGAATTCCTCCTCTTTCTTCAGTCCCTTGCTCTGGAAAGCTACCACCTCTGTTTGCCTAGAGGAGAAATAGAAATCTTTTCACTCCTGAACACAGGTCCTGGTGTCAGCCAAAGCCAGGTCACCCACAGCTTGACTGGAGCTAACTGAGTTCTTCTTTACCTGGAACTCGCCTTGGAGAGGAGGCGCTCCTCATGGATTCACTCAGTGCCCATGCACCCAGTGGGATGGAAAGATGGCGTGGCCCTAGAGAGCTTATACGGTCCTCTTTGGGGCAAACTTAGAAAGGAATCCACTCAAGCACATCTCTCCGTGGTGACAGAGGAGAGATCCAGGGTGGGTGTGGGCACAGAAGTGGTAGAAAGCACAGTGGGAAACAGAGCCTTTAAATGGGAGGGATTCATGAGCTGGGTTTGGTGGGTGGTAAATAAGGAGTCTGGAAGGACCTTCCCAGTAGGAGGAAGAGCAGCTAGGAGTGGATGGAGTTATGGAAAGACATGAGAAGGGAGAGTCTGTCTGTCCAGGGCAGGACACACACCATGCTGAGAGATGGGGACTGCTTTACCGAGTGAGTCGGGCGGGTCTTCTCTCCCATAGGTCAGAGGGAGAGAAGAAACCAGGCACATCTGCTGGCCAGTGTGGAGACAGCTGCGAGCAGGATATCGGGAGGCGCGTTTAGCTCTCTTGGATGGATCAGGAGAAATCTGGTGAGGGTGGGAGAAGTGAAAGGGGAAGACTTGGCAGCAGTGGGTGCTGAAGGGGCTGCAGAGTGAGACAGAGTGAGCCGGTGGTGAGGACACCCCTGCTCTGGATTTGGGTGCCCTGCAGGGTTTCATCACAAAGGCAGAGGGCTGGAGGAGGAGCCAGTGGATTTTCATCTCCAGCCCGGAGGGAAAGCTGCGCTGCTTCAAGACACCCCTGAGGCTGTTGCATTGTGCTGTCCAGTAGATCCCAAATCGTGGGGAGTGCGCTCCCTTAAGGTGTTCTAGGCTGTAATCTTCCTGGGAGCAGATCACCAAGAATGGTTGGTGGGTTTGAACTGCGAACCTTTTGGTTAGCACCCAAACATGTCACCATTGCACCATCCCAGGGCCCCTTAAGGTGACCCGAGGTGTCCTCATCTGCCCAGTCCTTTTCTCTCCATGACTGGGGGCAGGGGGAACATCCAGCCCTGGGGATCTCCAATGGAATGGGGCTGAGCATATCCTAAGAAGCCCAACACCACACAGTCATTTCTTAACATGCCCTCTTCCATAGTCGAAACTGTTCTCACGGGGACATTCAGATCACGGGGTGCGTCTCTGACCTCCCCTGCATGTTCTCCCCTGGGTTCTCCCTTTCACGGGGTCCCAGTGCTGGCAGACAAGCACTTGTCCAGGCACAAGCACCATGAGAGCAGGGTCTAGCACCGATGGTCTTGCCCAAAGTAGGGGAAAAGGCAGGCCAGGTTCTCCATACCCACTCTAAAGAAGTTTACATGCTGCTGCTACCCCCATGCACAGCAGGGGAGCCTCCCCACTCTGTCTGGTTAGGGACTTCGTGCAAAGCTGATGAGGTGGCAACCCATCCAGGTTGACTGCATATTAAGAACTTGCCACTCCATTATAAATTACGTTATTGTTTGAAGATGGTATGTTTTCACAAGGCATTGACATGATTTATGGTTAATTTTCCCCTTGATTTTTGTACACAACACCTGCCTTCTTTAAATGGCTGATCTTTCCCAAGTAAGATTCTCCTTGAGGGAAACATTCAAAGTCAAGTGATGCCCGATAGAGACAGCTGCCGGCTGACGGCTTTCTGCTTGCCCTCCCCACTTCCTCCCAGCTAGAGCTCAGCTGCGTTTACAGAGCAGTCAGGTAGCACTTCTTCAGCTGGCGTCCCGCGCAGTGTCCTAGCTTGCCATCTTGCCCGGAGTTTACAGGGACCACTTAGGGTGAGGCTGGCCTTCAGTGTGGGTTGAGAGGGAGGATTGGTCTAGGAGGATGCTTCCCTCCCTGGGCCTCATCCCTTCTCCCTTGCTCTCATCATGGGCAGTTGCCACCAATTTTACCAACAGACCTTTGGCTCCCAAGTGTGTGTCCCCTCCTGGGCTCACATATTCCACTGCCCCTTCCTCATCTTCCATTAGATGCCTTCGGGCTTATCAATCTCTACCGGGCCCAAACAGAGAGCAGCCTCTTTCCCCTCTCCCATGCCCTTGGGCTTTTTCTCCATCTTCGCTGGTGGCCATTCTAGACTGGTTCTTTCTTAGCCTTCAGCCCTCAGGTCACCTGGCCCCTCCTTAAAGGGTACCTTCTCAGCACTGCAGCCAGGTCCTATCAGTACCGGGGGTCTTTTTTCATCAGTACGCTTCACAGTGGTCACTTCCTATCACGCTGTGGTAGTCGTTTATGAATTTCTCCTCGATCGATCCCTCTGCACTAGCCACGTGGTAAGGTCCTTGGTGGCTAGGGCACGGTCTGTTGTCTCACCCTTGCAAACCAGGATGCAGTTCACTACCTGACACACGGTACATGCTCACTGCCTGTTGACCGGATTCCTGAGAGCTGCAAGAGGAGCAGGTGTGGGCGAGAAGAACTCACTGCGCGGGACATCTGCGCAGGATGCCAGATGAACAACGGGGTTCAAGTTTGCATCTGCGGGGGGTGAGGTGCCTTTGGGGCATCCAGGGTAGGGGCAGTTCACTTCAATGGGACAGGCAGTTGGAGGGGGGTTCAAGTCTCCCAGGAAGCAGATCTGGAGGGAGAAGGGAAGAGAAAGATGTGGATGACTATTTGAGGGAAATCTACATCTCAGAATCACAGGTTGGGGGTGGGGGCGGGGGTGGGTGAGAGAGAATGTAGCCTTACCAGAGCTTCCCAACTATTAAAGGGCCGGAGTTCTGTTATCTTCTGAGCCTTTTTCTGAGAACACTGAGGAATCAAAGTAAGTTCACCAATTGAGGCATCTTGAAGGAAATGAAGAATTTTGCCTTTATAACCATCCTCCATCACTTCTTCACCACTACTATAGTCCTCATCAAGAGAACTACCAACATCAGAACCTGAATCATATTCAGAGTCATCAGTAACTCTCTTAGGATTGAATACATTTTTTTTACGTTTCTTGTTGAACCCATTTTGTGCTTTCATGGAAAATTTCTGCTTCAGTTTTGTTTTAGTTGCATTTTTAGGGCAATTCTGATTCCTTGAGGAAACTTCTTTTCCATTTGGGACCTCATTTTGTGAAGCAAAGTGTATATCTATATACAAAGAAAGATAAAAACTTAAATTAGAAATATATAAACTACATACAAAGACTTCAAATAAGTATTTAAATATTTTCCTCTTCTTAATGCAGAAGAATACAGTTGTAATTTATTGTTAAATATTGATACGCTTTAAAGAGATACAAAAACAGAATTTGTAATTCTAAAATACTGCACATACCTGAATATCAGCCGAGGCACCTAATTTTACCACAAAAACTGCATAAAAAATGTGCTGGAAAACTCGGCTTATACACAAGTATAAACGTTAAGTTCAAGTAATTAGTTTTAAAGGCAGGTTATATAAAAATGATTAAAAATAAAGTTCAATTTTCTAAAAAAGCCCTGAGAACATAATTGACAGCTGCCGCACATCCCTAAGCTGACCAGCTGCTTTGCCGCGGCCCAGACCCTCGTGCTCACATCCACGGAACAGCAGATCATGCCCCGCCTACTGTGAGCTCTACAAGTGAAAACACTACTTCAACCATCTACATTAATTCATTTTTGTTTTTTATATTATTTTATTACCACTACTTCCACTTTTCTAAGATCAGTTTTCTATGAAAAAGTATTTAAATATACACTATCAAAAAGCAGTAAGCATTTACCACCAGTGAAACTATCATGAATTGATCATGTTTCATTGAATTTTAAAGTGCCTATTATTTCATATAACACATTCCTATTACTTGGGATATTTTTTATTGATTTTCTAATTCTTCTAGAGTGAGGCATATATTATCATTTATATAGTCTTATGCATACTTAAGAAATAAAA